TGCTATTAAGATGGGGATAAGAGACAGCATGTATTGAGCATAAAAAAAGGTTTAAAGTTATATGCATCATCACAGACCTTTTTTGTTATGTTCACATTAACAGTTAGAAAAGGTGTGATGTCGTGTACAGTGATATTAAAGGAAATATGGTTGTTGTAAGGGTTGTTGTGTACGTATGTTTTTGAAATATTTTGTACTGTAATTATGAAGATATACATGTAGTGGTTTATGATTAAAGTAGACAGCTTGGTGAGTGAATGGAATTTGTTGCATAGAAGTATTTCATTTTGAAGAAATATATTTTTCCAAATGTGCATTATAATTACGTATATCATTTGCCTTTGTTTGTTAGTTAAACATGCAGGTTTGTTTGAGAAAGGCTAAATCACTTCTTGGCTGACGTCAGATCTTGTATGTATATATGTATGTATATATATATATGTACAGTATGTGTATATATGTATATGTATATATGTATATATATATATGTGTATACACATACATACACATATACACACATATACATACATATATGTGTATATATATATATACACATACATACATACATATACATATATATACACATATACACATGTATATATATACATATATATACATGTATATATATACATATTTATTTAAAAGTCTAAGATTGTTTAATTCCGTTTAATGGTTTCCATATTTTCTTTTCTTATGTGATATTGATTTGAAATTGTAATTAAATACAATTAATTAATTTTTTTTTTAATTAATTAATTATAATTCCACTTCCATTATAATTTCCAGCTGCTGGATGAGAATTTTAATTATATATATTACCTGTTTATTTTAATTATATATATATTTATATGTATAAATAAACAGGTAATACAAACAGTTTTCAAATAATAATAATAATAATATTATATTTATATAGTGCATATTGCACATTGCCCCTATGCGCTTTACAGAGAAATAATATAGGCCAACTGAGAAAATGCAAATAACAATAAAATAATAACAATAAAATAAAATAAAAATAATCATAACAACAACAATAATAACAATGAGACTAAACTACTCCTATTCCTTAAACTAATTAATGGTTGGCCGTTGACTCCGAGGAGCTCATCTGCCCTTTGTTCAGCTATTGGTTTTTCTTGCTGCTGGGTGACCATAAACACCCTCCCCAGCAGCCACTAAGACAAATGATGTTATAAACTAAACATGAATAGCCCTTCAATGAAAACCTTCCTTAAAAGTTTTGTGAAAAATAACTTGCAAGTAGTTAAAAATCACCTAAAATCACCTTATTTTGAGAGTTAGCGCCTCTCAACTGATCATCGACTCACCCACTTCACCTTCGCAACCCTCATCAGCTCCCCTCATTTCAAGACTTCTAGATACACCACTCTGTGGTGCACGCAGCAAGCATAATTTGAACATTATCTATTATGGTTTTCTAGCTGCAACCTACAAGATACTGTTTATAGCTTGATCACTTCACTAAAATAGTTAATTCAAAATAAATAAGTCCAAAAGAATATTGAAAATGTAATCACAAAATTTTACAGCGTAAATATTTGGTAGGGAGATGGGGAGCAGTTTAAATTAAAATAACAAAGAGCAATATAAACATATACTGCCTCAAAATATAATATTGATATACTATATAACTCAACACAATTTTAACAAATAATTAGCAAAAATATTAGTATGGATATTTAATTTACCATCTTTTTTTAGGTTCAAGATGTTGCTAAACATCATGATTGTCCTGGCAACTATTTCAAACTCATTTGCGCAAACACTTGCTGAGAACCTTTGCAAAGACTGCTGCACTGCACTCCCTGGTAACCCTGGCAACCCTGGTAACCCAGGCAATCCTGGTAATACAGGTAATCCTGGCCCAAAAGGTGACAGAGGCTCTGATGGATTTGATGGAATCACAGGCCAGAAAGGCGAGTCTGGTGTTCAAGGTCCACCTGGAATCAAAGGCTTGGTGGGGCCTCCTGGAGAAACAGGTAATATTGGGCTTCCAGGAGAAACAGGGCCTCAAGGGCCCAAAGGTGATCCATGGTTTCCCACTGAAGGATTTCTGGGTGAAAAGGGGCAGAAAGGTGACAGAGGATTCAAAGGTACTAGCGGGTTTCCAGGACGAAATGGGTTTAAAGGTGAGCAAGGACGATCGGGACCAAAAGGTGAGCGAGGGCCTCCAGGTAAAACAGAGCTTCCAAGCATTCTAGAAGCATTCAAAGGAGAAAAAGGAGGCAGAGGTTTTCCAGGAATTAAAGGTGAAATGGGATATCCAGGACGGGATGGGATGAAAGGTAACATAGGGCTTCCAGGGCTTAACGCGAATGGGCTTCCAGGACCGAAAGGTCACAGCGGATATCCAGGACCTCCAGGGCCAAAAGGAAATAGAGGACCTCGAGGTTATAAGGGACTACAAGGCTCTCCAGGACCCAGCAGCAGTGAGACACAACAAATGTCAGCATTCTCCGCTGAACACACCAATGGGAGCACAATACACACTGGTCCTATAAAATACAATAACATTCTAACAAATGTTGGTGAGCACTACAATGCTGCAACTGGCAAATTTGTATGCAAAATCCCTGGCACGTATGTATTCAGTTTCATATCTCAGATAACGGATCAGAATGTTCATGTACGAACCAACATCATGAAGAATGGTGAGATGATGACAGCTGGCATTGGCCTATCAGGAAAGCCCTACACTAATGTTGTTGTTCTGAATTTACAATTCAATGACAAAGTTTGGATTGAGCCTCTGGCTGGGTTGGACGAGTATCTTGATTTTAATTACTGTTCTTTCTCTGGTTTTCTGCTTTACGCAATTTAAGATACAGTATTCGGGTTGTGTATAGCAAGTAAACAATGTATCCATATAATAAGCAACCGTTAATTAAATCTTTAATGACAGTTTTAATTCAATGATTGAGGGCATGAAGCCCAATCCAATAATGAGGTTCATAAGTTCATATATAAAAATGTATAAGAGCTATTACATTAGACACTTTATAAGTTAGTTAATTGTTTTCATGATTATTGTAATTAAAAGCATAGCTTTATCATAAAAATACATGCATCTTAAAATATTAAAGATACACTCAGTACTGGTCATCAGCAAGAAGTTTGTTCCCCCCATAACTACAAATAAAATTCTAATAAGAATAACAAACGGCGTATTAAAATGTTTGACAAGTAAAATTTCAAAGATTGACTGCCATAGTGCTGAAATGATAGTGCTCCTCCTTATGTGATGCAGCGTTGTTCCTTTCGCAGTGCTCGGTAGTGGAGCCCAGAGCTTATCTAGAAGTGGAAGGTGCGGATTCTTAACATACCTTACTACCTTCGAGCATCTGCGTATAACTTACTTGTGTATCTTTTAAATATCTATATTTTTTCAAGCAGATTATGGAAAATAGAACTTATATTTTTGGCTGTTATTGTATTTTCCACAAATAATCAAGATAATATCATGGAGAAAATAAATTAACTTTAGCAATAATTTATTGATGCGATAAAACAATAATTATTGCCATTAAAAGCAGAGTGATCAGTGTAAAACCAAATAGTTTTCTGAGAGGATAATATTGGTGGAAGAGGTATGCACTGGTTGATACAAATATTTCTGAAGCCACAATAATATACCCATCTAGTATAGTTAGTAGTTAACCAATGAAAGTTGATATTGCCTAATAACTTGATTATCGAAGATTGTTAAAGGTCGAAATAAATTTTTTTTGTTAATCTGTACGAATTTTTTCAGTGTCTGTGTAAATTATTCATGAATGAAACTGAGTGAGATAAAATGTTGAGATAATGGCAATTGAAGAGGTACCGAAAACCAGAAAACTTAAAATCGTTTCAGCATTTCTCTGTCGGTATTCAAATGAATTTTCTTGTTCACTGCTTAAAATAGCATTGATTGATTGAATGAATGAATGACTGTATGAATGAAGGATTAAATGAGTGACTGTCAGTGTGTGTATAATATTTCATAAATGGAACTGAAAGAGGTTACAATTTGAGATAGTGTAAATAGCAGTTTATTTTCAGAGAGGGGGTGCCTGAGGCGGCACAGAATATCTGCTCATGACTGACACTTCTCGGCTTAATCGGCAGTGGTGGTACTTTCCTATCATTCAACACTATTTCAAGGCACTGCTGTTATACTCCTACACTTTTGGAGTCTTTTGAGAGGTTGGCTTTACTCAACAGAACCAGGAGAACCCGAGAGATACTGAAGGCTAGTCAACACAACAAGGCAACATAACATTACAACATATTTGCATTTCTGTGACTGTATTCAAATGTTCACTGCTTTGAACACTTCAATTCAATTCTTTCAATTCAATATACATTTATTCAATCAATGGAAAAACATAACAAAAATCATTAAATTTAAATAACATAATTCCATTGATAAGGATCAAGTTGTAGAGGCTTGTCTCAATTGACCCGTACAAAAAAAGTACAAAATAGAAAAATCACAATAATTTCAATACCAAACGTACATACACACACATTCCCCCACCCCCACAAACAATACACAAAAAGAATACCTGCAGTGCTTTATATATACATATACATCTGTCTCTTATACACATCTAGATGTGTATAAGAGACAGCTGTTGAACACACTATAAGAGACAGTACATACACACACAACGATAAATTAACCTATATAGCTATCCAAATAATATTTTTTTATGTGTTTTCTAAAAGTAAGTTTTTCATCATTCATGTCATTCCATAAGGTAGGTCCAAACACTGTAATACAAAATTGACTACTTCTCAATCTAACAAACGGAACGTATAAATCATTAGTCTTCTTTAAATTATAGTTATGCCCACTCTTTCGATGATGGAAAATATTTACAATAGAAAGTGGGAGTTGACCGTTTGTATATTGAATTATAAAAGAGGCTACTTGGATTTTATGGATATCTGTGATCTTTAAAATACCTAGTTTCTTAAACAAAGGTTCAGAATGAGATGAAAAGGATGCCAAGCAAATAAATCTAACAGCCCTTTTTTGTAGCTTAATTAATCTATTTAAATTTGAAAAGTAATCACTTGCCCACATTAAATTACAAAATTGTAAATAAGGAAGAACAAGGGAATTATACAATGTATGCTGAAATCTATTAATTAGACCAATCGATTTTGATACCTTATTTGATGTATAATTCTGATGAGTTTTCCAAATTAAATTAATGATCACTCCCAATATTATTTCCATTTAAATAAATATCAAAATGATAAAGATCAAGTTTTTTTTGCCGTGGATGAAACAAACTATAATTTTTGAGTAGTAATCAAGAGTTTATTTGCAAGGAACCAATAATTAAGTTTATCTAATTCTTCATTAACGGTATTGAACAAAATATTGTGATTTGAGTAAAACAAAATACTATCGTCAGCGAAGGACACAACCTGCAGGGTGTCAATAACTTAATAATTTCTTCCCTGTAATTTGGTAAAATCTTCACAAAAGTTTCATTCAGTAGATTAGTTTTTGGATATCTGGTCTGAGACAAATGGTCTCATATCTACACCCTACTCCAGATGGTCACCAAAATTTAAACATTTCTTCATTGAAACACAACAAACTATTATAGATAGTGTCATTTGGATCCATTGATTATTTTTAGAGATACTTAGGTCTGCAACTTTAGCAAATTTTAAATGACCCTGAAATTCACAACCAACTTTAGATAGTCACACTTAATATTTCTTCCTTGTAACTTGGTTAAACTTTCACGAAAGTTTCATTCAGTTCAGTTGATTAGTTTTTGAAATATCTGGTCTAGGACGTTTTCTTTTAAATGGTCACCAAAATTTAATAATTTCTTCATTGGATAGTACCTAACACTCTTTGTAACTTTGATTTAGATTTCTGCAGCTGTTTTTTAGATATTTGGAACACACTCACGAAAATGTGACACACACACACACACAAACACAAACTTACTTATTTTTAGAGATATTTACGTCTGGGACACCAAAATTAAATAATTCCTTTATTGGATCGTACCTAATTCTCTCTGTAACTTTCATTTAGATCTGTGCAGCTGTTTTTGAGATATTTTGAACACAAAACACATACGCACACGAAAACGTGATACACACACACACACACACACACACACAAACTTACACGACTGAAAATATATATCCTCTGGCAAGGATAATAAATATGATCTATATAGTGCATATTCACTTTAAAAATTGGTCAAGGTGGTTGACGTAAACATAGAAATATTTACAAGACAATTAAAATCCCAAAACATAACCCATAAAATAGCCTAAAGATAACAAAAACAGAAAAGCAGAGGAAACTATTATCACCACTTTGTTTGATAGCATTTTTTATAAACCTCCAAAAATTAGGGCGATCGCTAGTTCAATGTTTTCATGGACCTTTCCACTAAAGCCCTGCCCTTGGATATTGTTGCTAACGTCCTGAAAAACATATTCCTAGCCCTATTCTCATTGGTCAGTTGGTAAGTTTGATTGGCACTCTAGAAATGTCCATTAAATACTTGAGAATTTTTTTCAGATTTTTCCATAGACACAGTTGTAACACCAGCGGAAGGGAATTTGCCCATCCCACTCCCCCGGCCCCGATCAATGAAATATTAATTATGCAAATGACCAATCAGCATATTCACACACATATCAAAAACAAAAAACTGTTGCTTCGATCCTTTGGGAAGGCTAATTAAAAATTATAACTAGAAAGCAATTATCATTATAACTCCAACAATGGTCAATGTTCAATGGTCGTATATTTATATAGCGCCTTCCACAGAAAACCGTCTCAAGGCGCTTTTGAAGCCACAAGAAACAAAGACAAAAGAACGCGAAGGGGGAGTGCGCACCCCCGATTTTGAGATAGCGTCGCCATAACTACTGTGAACACGCAAGTACCTCGGCGTCAGTTTGCTGGGCTCCGGTAGCTTCCACCAAGGATAAGCCTATGGCTCCCCTACCGTGCACTGCTAAGTTGGCGGCGCTACCTCAAGTAAGGAGGTGCAACTTTTCAGGGGAAAAAAACTTGACTACAAAACAACTTAACTACAGAAATTTAACTACAGAGATTAACAAATAAATGAGAATTATTAACCATGAGAAAGTTAATAAAGATTGAAGAGATAAGCCTTCAAATTCTTTTTAAATACAAGGAGTGAAGGCGCATCATGAAAATCAGCCGGTAATGAATTCCACAACTTTGGGGCAGCTACAGAGAACGCCCTGTTGCCACAAATAAAGGCCAATATGGCAAGAGGAAAATAACTTATATTATCTTTAAAAATTAAATTGTTTTATTTGTGATCGAAAAGCATAATTTGAGCCAAAAATTTTTCCTGTGAACCCTACAAGTTATTTTTTATATTCCGGGACCCTGACCGAGGCTTTAGTCGGCCCCCTTGGTTCAGATGGTTGCATTGCATATTTTGGACCCCTCAGTTGGCAAATCCTTCCAAACACTGTACTTTCATTCCATAATCTTTATGTGCATGTGCACATTGTATGCAAGGACAGAAAGGTACAGGAAGTGATCGTTCGTTTGTACCAAGTACCAAGCTTCATTATTGTTAGATGTTATCATCTGACAGTATTATTAATAACATACATATAGTCAACTCCAGTGACCAACATCTAATAAACAATCGATCAAAGTTAAAATAATGGGAAGAATGGAAGGAACTGGGAAAGAGAATCCTGGATATCAATTTAGGAAGCCTGATACCAAACAATGACATCATGCTATATTAATGATGCATTAGATTATAAATCATCTCCTTATCTACAATCATTACATGTATTCCAACTGAAGAATGCTTTTACACAGAGCCCCTTTAATATTCAAACACAGGTTGCAAAGATATTTAAAGAAAATTTTCAGGAAACTGCTTTAAGGGATGATGGTATATAAGTAGCCCAATTCAGTAGCTATTGATAAAGAACACAGACCATTAACCAAGTTCAAAAGTTGTTATCTCGATCAAACAGACTGTCAAATCCCTGACTTACAGAAAGAGCAAAACTAAACCAAGCAGGTATGCTAAGG